GGTGCCTACATGCGGAAAATGGAATGTAGGCGCTTGAAATTTACTAAATTGCGCCTACATTTCATTTTTTGAATGTAGGCCTAACCACATGACACCTACATGGGTTTTTAACATGTAGGTGTCATTTTGGATGGTTTCAAGCTCCTACATCATAAATGTAGGCACTTTTTTGCGGGAAACACCCATGTAGGCGTAAGATGGCCAGCACCTATATGGTTTTCTTGTGGGCTGTAAATAGCAACAGCCAAAAACTCATATCACTCTCAACCAAAGGAAATTTGACTCAATCTTGACTGAGCCCCTCACTCCTTGCAAGGCATTGAGCAAGGGACTGACCACTAAATACGGTTTTCTGGCATGAGAGGTGTGCCACATCTGCACAAATATCTCTACATTTCTTATTATGTTATTGACTCATGAAAAACACATGCATGAAGTGTATAGTGGAGAGCACTTTTGGTGAAAGCCAATGACCAGTTGTTGGATGGTAGACCAGGCTGTAAGAACGTGCAGCCTGTTTGAATTGAAACTGGTCTGCATCACCTTTGCTTCTGTTTTTCATCCTCCATCTTTTCATCTTTGTGGTTTTCTCAGATTTGATGTGTATGTCAAATCTGAAAGAGACCAAATTTCTAAAAGAAATCAAATGTCTGGTTTCATGGCTTCACTCTTGGCAGGACAGGAGGAGGCCCACTTTGCTCACAATGAGATAAAATTCACATTTTTTAAACATAAGTCATTCTTTAACAATGAACAAGGATAAGAAGTGACAACAAGTTGAAATTTTTGAAAGCATGAGCAATTTTGAATTATTGAATCAATCTTACTATAGCAACTGATGGTTTGCAAACTTTGATAGGTATATCTTGGGATGCATGCATTAAATGGAACATCAATGGCAGTAAAACAAGTAGAGAGACCAAAAGGTAATTCACATGATGAAGGAAGAAGAAATCACTACAACATTGGAAAATAGTCCAATATTAGATTCATCTGCAGATGGTTCATATTTCAATTTTTTTTGGAATTTGTACCAGGTGGATCAGTTTCAACTTGATTAAAAAATGTGGATTGGATCCTCTGTGATGATGAAGCAGTATACTTTCTCAATTTGATTGATCAACAGGATTTGCCAATTGGTGACAT